ATCTGGAATCATCGATTACACACATTGGTGATCTGATTTCTCGAACTGAGGAGGATTGGTTTTGCATGTGCGCTTCCGTGACATGCTTGGCCCAAAACAAGCTTATCTCCACTCCAGGCAAATTCGATGCCCCGGCCACTGCATTTTGTGCTTTTTGGCCTTTACTGGTGCTTCCTGTTCAGCGCAAGTTTCCTTCACCGTCACAGTCACGGGGTTCGTGCCATCACGTGCACACCCGCCATCCGTATGAGTGAACGCACCCCGCAATTGCCGCTGCTGGTGGAAAGCCTGCTTTCTCAGCTTGCCCTTTTTCTCTCGGCTTCGTGAACTGAACCTTCTCGATGCAGATTGTGCTGCTAGCATTGGTCGCTGCTCCTGTTGTCGCCTTAGTCGTTGGTCCTCCTTCGATCTCCGGCGGGAGTAACAAAACTCCGGAGACCACAAAGAAATACTCAGGGGGAGTTCTGAGTGGTTTGATTCTGCCTGCTGCCGATCTGTCTGCCATGATTGGTTCTGCCGTCCATGTAGAAGAAAGTCAGATTGTTGATGCTGCAAGCTCCATCGCAACAAGGACGACCGAGCCTATTTTACGTACCTGGCGAAGCATCCGGAGGCTAACCAGTGCGTGTCCCATTCACCCTCCGCACATTGTATTGGTAGCTTTGCGACTTTCATGGTTTATCCTGCCAAAACTCGGCTTGTGCCTTGCAACAGGTGTACGCGGAGCAGCTTCAGCAACGAAATCGGTGGCGAGAAGGGCTCCCACAGGTGGCGTTGCAGACTACTGGATCACCTCTGCAGCTCTCATCTGCTCTGTGTCACAGGTTCTCATGGTTGCGGAAAAGCCATCAGTGGCGCGATTGGTCGCGGATTTCCTGTGCCCCCATACCGAACGACTGCGGGAGAGAAGGTGGATCGATGGCAACACGTGTTATGCGATATGAGCACTACTTGTGCTTACATGTGCTAGGTCACAAGGTCCATGAAGACAGCGAATCTCGATTCCTTTGAACTGAGCAGTGGGCGCGATTGTGACAGCACGGCTCATCCCAATTCGTTCTAAAGCAACTCACGAACTCCGAGCGATTGGGATACAATCATGCCATGACTGCGCGGCTTGCTACGTTCGTCTCGACCTTGTCGGGTTTGCTTTTGTTTCTTTCGGCCTGCCGCTTCTGTGTGATTCTGATAACCCCGTGAGTTGTTCTTCTCAATTGCATCTCGCTAAGCCCAGCATTCACCGTGGGCCCTGTCGAAAGGGGCTTGTCTCCGGCGTGCCCGGTGCTGGAGTTTGCTGCTGTCTTTCCGTTGGGCCCTCAGAGGCGCGTCGCATGACAGGCTTGGCAACACAGCAAATATGTCATCCTGTTGTTACCTACTGTTTATTGTGTATGGTCATCTATCCACCTCTGTTGCTCAGAATTAGTTGTCTGTTGTCTGTTGTCTGTTGGTGACTCCGAGTTACCAAATACACGGGCGAAGCACATGCTCCCGCTGTTACTTACCCACTTTATACCATAATTCTGATAGAAATCTGAGAAGCAGCTTCAGGCTCCGATATGTACATGTCTGACACTTTGTGTGTTGCGTTTCGGGTTTCCTGGCCTCCGGCAGCGTTCGAGGCCCACCGGCCAGCGCAGCGTGATCTGCGTGACCTCGGCGACTTGAATGAAGATTCATTGTAAGATGGACAGCCAAATGTAGCCATTTTGGCTCAAGCCGTGAGTGGTTCAAGGGGACTGAGGCCGGCCTTGTCTCCCCCCTTGCTCTTCCTCTTCTCTCCTTTGCGAACAGGCCTCGGTCGGCCTGAAACCCGGGGGCCTGCATCCTTGTGCCTCTGAGCCTGCCTCGCGATTGCTGCACATCAAGGGGGAGATCCTTGAGCTGTTCTCCGCAGGGGTCCGGGACAGGGAGATAGTCGGGGGTGCACCAGTACGGGATCACTCGTCGAGGCGTGTGGGGGAGCCTGACATCCGCTACCCCAAAGAGATCGGCGGCCCTACGCACGGCCGAGGGGGCAGTGGCGATTAGCCGCATCGACATCGGGTCGTAAAGTATAAGCAGGTTGTGCATCGTGCTTCTATCCCGACGACATCAAGAATGGCATCTTCTTTGGCTGGGGGAGGCGGCGAAGGGGGCACCAGTGGGCCCATTGAAATTGACAGGGAGGAACGCGACGGCGGGGGGACAGAATCTCCCGCGAAGAAAGGGCGCGTGCAAGAGCAGACTCTCACGCTCTCCATGCTCCGCACCGTACTCGCAGAAGAACGTGAAAGAGACAGGGAGCACCTTGCCAATAGCCTGGCGGGGGTCAAGAGTGACGTGGCCAGCATGCAGGGGAGAGTGCAGGAGGTGGAACACATCGTCCAGCAGCAGGTGCAGGACACGGTCCGGGCGCTCGACAGGGTGACGAAGAGCTACGACAAGCAAGCGGGGATATGGATGAAGTCAAGGCCGCTCAGTTTCAGCTTGAAGCCAGGATCCAGTCGCTGGAACAAAAGCCACCCTCGACAGCCCCGGGGGAGTACCGCTGATACGGAAGGGGGACGCAGGCCTGCGCTCATCATCGGGGGATGGCACCCCGACCAAGCGGCCGAGGACACGCTCAAGGCGGCCAAAGAAGTCCTGCGCTCGCTGGAGGTCCCGCTCAACGGGGAGGAGATGTTCGTCCCTGGACTGAGAAGGGGATACGCAATCCTGCCCATCACGCCCAAGCCGTTCGAAGACGAAGACGCAAGAAGGGCCAGAGTTCAGGGGGCGATACAGAGGGTCAGAAATGCCAACATGATGCTGGGCAAGAACGAAGCAGGGGGGATGCGGAAGCTTTGGATTGCGATCAGCCAAAGCCCTGAGAGACGCAAGCGCGCAAAGCTTGCAGGGAAAGTGAAGCGGGCGATCCTCGAGATGGGGGGGCCCAGCGAGACATGGAGGTCGAGTTTGCTACAGGCACGGTCTGGTACCATCACCAGAAAGTTTCCAGCTCCACGGCGGAGAAGCCGCACTCGGCGGAGACAGCGGGGGTTGGCTGGGTCGACGTTAAGCTTCTGGCCAAGCTTATGCGCAAACCTTTGGCGGAGGTGGAACAGGCGTGGGAGGCCCGCAAAGCGGAGCTCCTGTGACGGAGGGAAAAGAAGGCCAAGCTGACCAAGTTTCACGGCACTGAGAGGGAACCGCTGCCCTCGCTTTTTCGAGTGGGAACCTGGAACGTTGGGGGGCTCACGGCGCAAAACGTGCTGGAGCTCACCAAGTCGTTTGCCGGGGACCAGGACCTTGAGACCATGCGAGTTTTGATGTTGCAAGAAGTCATTGTCGAGCCGGGGGTCCAATTCCTTGAAGATCACGGGTGGACCATGGTCTGCGGCAAGAATTCGAGAGACTGGAGAGGCACAGCAATCGCATTCCGTAGTGAAGCAGCCAAACATACCAACTCAACACTGCTACCAGGGGGGATTGCCACCACCCTCACCCCCACCGCAAACCAGCAACGCACCAGATACGTGGCGGGACACATCCCACACCACGCCACCATTGCCCAGACGGAGACACTGCTGGGGGGTTGGCACGCGTCCCTCTCCAAGGCCAGAGTTGTGGTGGGCTTCGACGCCAATGAAACCTTCTCTGACGTGGACGACCAGGGGTGGCGAGCGCACACAGGCCGGGGGGAACTGATCCTGGCCACCCTGGCGGAGCATACCTTCTCCAACCCCCCCCAGGAATTGCACACCCCATCCTACCACCCCTACAACACGGCAATGGAGTCCCGGCGGCTGGACTATGTGGTCGTGAAGGGGCACAAGCCGACCGGGGGGCAAGTCAAAGTCGGCACCAGACACATGGCGAGCTCTGACCATGACCTTGTGCTCCTGGACCTGGCCAACTACAAGCAAGGCGGGGGCAAACCCGACAGACCCACATGGGGGAGCAGACGCTACGCACGGGGGGTCGACCCAACGCAAATCGCCGCCCAGCCGCCGACACAGACGGACGCCCACACAGCCATAGCACAACTGGCGCGGCGCACCACAGAACACGGACGACCCAGCCAACGCTTCCATGAAAGCAGCGACCTGTGGAAGTTGAGGAAGCAAGCCAGACAAGCAGTAGGGGTGGAAGCGCGGGGGTTGTGGAAGCAGGTGTCCCGACAGCGCAAGCGGGAATACAGAGCATGGTTTGGGGGACTTGTCACACAAGCTAGCCAGGCCAACTGGGGGGCCTACCGGGCCATACAGCAAACCCGGGCAAGAGTGGGGTGGCAGCACGCACTCACCGACGATGCCAAGTGGGAATCCAAGCTGAACGCCCACTTCGAAGGCATCTTTGCCAAAGCACCCGCAGCCCGCACAAGACGCCGCTTGGAAGACACCAGGGGGGCGCTCACGAAGCTGTGTAAACACACACAGTGGAGACCATTCACCGGGGCAGACCTGCAGCTAGCAACCCGTACTTGGAAGCACAACAAGGCAACAGGCCCCGACTCCATCACACATGAGCTGCTACAGCAGCTGGTGCAAGACCCGGTGTGGGAGGGGCGCATCCTGCACATGGTCAACGATTTTCTCTATAAAGGAGAAATCCCAGCGCCAGTCTTGCAAGGCATGACCATACTCCTGCCCAAAACCCAGGGGGATCCCCCCACGTGGGGGGACACCAGACCCATTACACTCAGCTCGGCGGTACTCAAGTGGTTCGCACAGCTGCTGTTACTTAGAGGGGGGGGGAGGTTGCAGGACGACGCGCCATACCAATGGGCGGGTAGGGGCAAGCAGGCGCCAGAGCTGTTGGTCGTTCTTCGAAGGGTGGTGCGGCATGCCAAAGAGTGGGGGGTCCCGACGTGGATCATCAAACTGGACGTTAGGAAGGCCTTTGACAGTGTCTGGCAAGAGAGCATGGGGGACATGGTGGCACAGCGCATTGGGGGGCTGCGGCAAGGAGGCGGGGGGACTGCGGGAGGAATGCCTTGGGAAGCAAAAGCATGGCTGGGGTTGCTAGAAGCACGCGAGATGCAAGTGGCGGTCGGCGACACGGTGACAGCGATCCCCCAATCGAACGGGGTGAGACAGGGGTCCCCGGACAGCCCGATCCGGTTCAGCTCGAACAAGCCCTGCAAGAAACCAGACACCTCCTCCCAGCGGCGAAGGCACCAGCCCCGCCAGAGTCCGGGGGGGCGTTTATGGATGACACGTACCTTTGGTCACATGACAGAACGCACCTGCAGGCGACGCTGGCAGCACTTGAGAGGCACCTTGCACGCCATGGCCTGTTGATCAACCCGAGGAAGACGGCAGTGATCTACAGCCAGCCGCAGGGGGGGGGAGCATACCGCATTGGGGGGGAAATGGTCGGCTGCAGACCCTTTGGGGAAGTCGTGACGGCACTGGGGTCACCCCTCACCTTCGGGGAGAGTGTGGCAGCGATCATCACACCGGGCGCGCAAAGCGTTCAACAAACACGCAGCTCTGCTCTGCGCCACCACGCCACTCAAGGGGCGGCTCACTCTACACCAAACCCTGGTGCGGGGGGCGGCACTGTGGGGGGGACAAGCATGGCCCATCACTGATGGCATCCTCAAAGCCGTCAACACCACCCAGCTGCTGCAGATTCGGCGTATGATGCACCCAGCGCGCCGGCCGGGGGAGCAATGGGAGCAATGGCATGTACGCACCATGAGGGGGGCGAGAGTGGCGCTACACCAGTCCAAGGTGCTGCGCTGGAGCACCTTCCAACTTGGCCACACCTGGGACCTGTACGGACACATGGCCCGAGCCCAACCCGGGGGGAGACCCATGCTCAGTTGGAAAGACTTGGAGTGGTGGGAGCTGGAGAAACAAAAGCCGCGCGCACAAAGACACACCCATGTCAAATACAATGCACTCGCAGACCCAGAAAGACAGGTGGTGGCAGTGGCGGGGACAGCCTGGAAGCAGTTAGCAGCAGATTTTCAGACATGGGGGAGGTTGGGAGAACAGTTCGTATCCAAGTTTGACGTTCCGTGGGCAACTGGCAAGCAGAGCAGCATTGCGAACCTAACACCCAACAACACTACAGGGGGGAGACAACACACGCCAGCGGATGAGACAGACATGTTGAGAGCCTAGCGTTTGCCTTTCCTTAGAGTGCCTGTCGTACACTTTGTCAGTGAAGCCGTTTGCCAGCTGACGACCCTGCAAGCCTTGTGCTTTGTGCCAGAACGCAGTGCTCGAGCTCAGCTGGAAGCCTAGCCAAGCAGATGGGGAGAGCAATGCTTGTGGTGTTTCTTCTGGGGGTGGCCCTGCACGAAGTACAGGCAGGAACACGTAAGCCCACCGACCCACCAGGCGCCACACCTCCTTCCAACCCGGGGGAGGATCCGTGGGCACACACGTACCGCCGAAGCCAGCAGCAGCAGCCCACGCTACACCTCTCTGCACAGCCGCAGGAGGGAACCCACCAGGCAGCCCAAGCAGCGACGGAACCAGCCACGCAGACAGAGTACCCCAACATGGGGGGGCAGCCCGCCAGCCAGCCACAGACGCTGCAGCCTGGAAGAGCCACGGGGCAAGCAGAAGCAACGAACGAACCACAGCCAGCAGCCGCAGGGGAAGCGCCGGCCTCAGCAGCACAGCCACACGCCGCGCAGCCACACACACCGAGGGGGCCAGACCCCGTGGGGCCCCAAGCACCAGTTCCACGACACCGGCCGAGGATGCAGCCGCCTGACAGCCAACGCTACCCACCACCAGCAGACCCGCATGCGCAGGGCTTGCCACAGGCCCAGCAGACAGCACAACAGCCGAGCCAAGCCGCAGCCGCATCGTGCCAAACCCAAGTGGGAGCGCATGGGACAGCCATCATGAGCCAAAGGGTGGCGACGACGAACCAGCAGGCCGACCCTGCCACCATGCCCCAGCCACAGCACCAGCAGCCAGGAGCAACGACGTATACCGGGCAGCCCACGCCGACCGCAACAGGGGGCACACCACACCAGCACGCAAGGGGGATGCAGCCAGGAGGCAACCCCAAAGAGGCGTGGGGCTACTACGCCCCGACATACGATCCCGCAACGGACCCGTGGCACGAAGACGACGAGGAGGACGCCAGCCAGCCCATGCTGCCGCAGCCGGGACAAGCCACACGTATGGGGACCACGCAGCAGCAGCCGCTGGTCTACACGGTGCCAGCAGCCCCAAACCAGTGGGGGTACACCCTCACATACCACCCACCGCTCCAGCAAGCTACCGTGGGAAGCAACCAGCCGTGTACACAGCAACCGCAGCACCAGGGCCAGCTGCACAGCCCCGAGCACAGCGGCCCTCACGCCACAGCACAACACAGGCAGCCCGAAGCAGTCAACAGCAACCTTCCCGGGCAGGGGGACCTCCACGCAGCAATGCCAGCCCAAGGGGGCACGACCACGCAGCCGCAGCAGCAGCAGCAGCCAGCTCCACAAGAAGTCACACTGACGTGCCCCCAACTTGCACACCAGCCCCCCAACTGCAACAGATGGGGAAGAACGCTGCAACCGCTCACCCAGGGCAACGGGCCCACCACGGGCACAACAGTGCCGCATCCTGGCCAGCAGCCACAGTACAAACCAACACCACAGGGCTACGAACCGCCGCCGTGGGCAGTGCCAGCAGACTACATCCCACCGTGGGAGAGAGACCCACACCGACCCCAGGACACAAAGCCAGCGCCAAGCAGCAGCTCGGGGGAAGCCTTCACACAACAACCACAGCAACAGCCGGAAGGGACCATGCCAACGATGCCACCCACCGCCGAGGGGCATTGCCAGCAGACCCAGCACCCGGCAGGCCACCCAGATCCAACAACTACAGACGGGGGGGGAATGGCGAGGGGGGGGTCCACAACACAGGGGGAGGCCCGCATAGCACCCACAGCGGAACTGGAGGAGGAAGACCCGACGGGGGGCACAGGGGGAGGCAAAGCCCAACGTCCGTATCACGAAGGACATGGAGATCAGAGAATGAGAGGGAAGCGGTTCAAAGCTGCGGTCCAAACCGCGTTTGGACAGCGGGGGTGGACGAAGGGGGACGATGTCACGTGGAAAGAAGTGGCACACCTCGTGGGGCTGCGAGAAGAAGATGATGAAAGTGAGTGGGCCAGGGTGCTGGCGGAGGGGGCACAGCGAGGAGGCAGGCGGCAGCAAGCCCGAGAGGGAACGGCAGCAGCGCACACCCAACCAGCAGCAGGGGGGAACGCCGACACCAACCCCACCAACTTCTCGCTCCTGCTCAACCTCCACCACCTACCGAGGGGGTCGCCGCTACCGACACAGCCGCAGCAGGCGAGAGACAACCCACAGCCACACAACAAGCACAGCACCGCAGCGGGGGGAGGTCCCGGAGACCCCAGGAGACGCAGAGGGCCGGCAGCCGCAGCGACAGCAACAGTGGAGCAGCCGGACGACGACAATGACGCGACGCTTCAGTGGGACGGTCTCTTCAACTCCATGCTGATTTCGCCGGGGGGAGCGGACCGGCCGGACACCTTTCCGCCGGAACTGCCTTTCCATGCTGACGCCGAGATGCACCTGAGGGGACTACCACACGGAGCGTGGGCAGGCATCACACTCCCATGGCAATCCAGAAGGGGACCGGAGTATGCGTCCTCCACCCGTGGATACTGCCGCATCAAAGTGCGGCGCAGGCCGGGGGGCATTGAGCCCGCAGGCTACATGGCCACCAGCACCTCGTTCGTCCTGTTCCCTTGGGGAGCAATCCAGGGGGGACGACCTCGGAAGTGGCTGCTCCACATCACAGGGGGGCCACCCCAAGAGGACCCGGAGGCGACGCAACTTCAGCCTGGTTCAAGTTTTTCTTTAGAGATGCCGCCGGGGGCCCGCACCTGGCAACTGGGGAGGCTGCAGCCACGCTTGGCGTTGCAATATTTTTACGACTGGGGGAATATGACCCCAGAGCCTCGAACAATCCGCCCATGGCGTGGGAGCAGATGGCGCTTCAGCTCATCCCACCGCCGGGGCGGAGGAGGGAGCCGGCACAAAACCCGACCTTCCCGGGGGACAACCAGTCATCTACAGCGGGGCCCAGCTCACCGCCTGTGACAGCTCCGTCTCCAAGTCCGACGCAACGGGGGAACGAGAACGGACAGCCGGACGAGGAGGACGACGAGATCGACGAGCCCTCCTTCATGCAACGAGCCACCCAGCTGAACGACACAGCGGCCTCCAGCGCGGGGGAAACGCCACAGGACGGCTGGGGACAGCGCAGAGGACGGCCGGCAGGGGGCAGGCCCCACCGCATGGCCCCGGCTGCGGCCATGGTCCGCCGCTGGCTTCGCCAACTGGCCGCGATACTGCAAGCCCACCCGATGGGGGATGCCATCCCATTGCTGCTGGAAGAGACAATGGAAATGGTGGGGACCTGCACCGACGACGACCGATGGCAAGATGATGGTACAGTGGGGGGACCAGGCCCCTGCAAAAAGAGGCGCATCTTGAACATGATCTATGTCGCCCGCAGCCGTCTGGAGCTGATCTGCGAAGACGATGGCATAGATGGCTACAATCAACATCAAATCTGGGAGGACCTCAAGACAGCACTGGGGGACCTTCGCCGTGGCCAAGAGCAGTTCCAACAAGCAACGCAGGGCCAAGGGGGGTACCAGGCAATGCAGGGGAGCCATGGCCTCGACCAAGCCATTGCCGCTGTTCAAGCCGCGGCTGGAGCCACAATGGAAGGGGACCTGGACTGGCTCTCCGAAAGCTGGAGCCAAGTCATCACAGTCCTCGTCCAGGATGCGGAGGACTTGTTGGAGGAAGAAGGCATCCTCGACTATGTGCACCCGGCGGATGTCGTCGCCCTGGAAGAAGGGGGACAAGAAGCGCAGCCGCCGCCGGCCGGGGGACCTGACGAGCAAATCGACCGCCTGCTGCGAAATGCGCGCGCAGTCATGAACTTCGTGCCGGCGGGGGGCGAACAGATGAGACAGTTGCTGGCAGCTATTCTGATCTGGCGGCAGCAGACGCGAGGGGAGAGCATCGCCGTGGACACCCAGACGACGGACGCAGCAGGGGAAGGCAGTCAGCCAGCAGAGGGGCTCCGACCAACAGATGCGTGGGTGCCGCCAGTGGACACGGAACAATGGACGGGGAGCATTCCGTCCTCGTCGGTGCAGCCAGCAAGCCCCGAGGGGGACCTCTTTGAGCCTACGGATGCGGACTTGGTGCAGGCGCTTGAGGAGTTCGAAAGAAGAGAACAAGACGAAGCCTTGCAATCTAGTGGGGGGGACCCAGCCGCTGATCAACCTGCGCAAGCTGAACTGAGTGGGGGAGAAGCCAGTGAGCCAGAGCATCGTAGACGTAGAGTTTTGTCCAGTCTTTTTGACAGGGGAGGGAACCCGGAAAGCTGATACTGTATGGGGGGACACATTGCAATACGCTGTTAGCACCTAAGCTGTAAGCTGTTGGCCGGGACCTCAGAGTGATTGATAGGTTGCTGCACTGCTCGGGGGAGTGAACATTTGTCGTGCTGTATTCGTACTCGTAGGCGTTGTGTGCTTGTTGTGAACGTGGGGGAACACGGAGCAGTGAAGAGGTGCCAGACTTTGAAGACAAAAGTCAAAGGCACAGAACAGGTTTGAGCCTGAAGATGAGGCCTGGGGTCAGTTAGTTTAGATGGTTGGGGGGTCGCACAGTCCAGAACAGCAGGCCTCATCTTTTTCCTTAGAACCGACCGACGACAGACAGGGCGCATTCGTGCGCGAGGGTGGGGGCTGACGCGCCTGCCCTTTGACTGTGTTGAAGAAGCCAAATACTTTCAACTCTTCGGCTTGTCAAGCTTTCAGGTGATTGGCCACATTTTTCAGCTCGAGTTTGCCAGGCACCCGGTTTTTGACATTGCTTGCTCAGCTCGTTGCAGATCACGCCTCGCACGTAGGCAAAGTGAATATGAACAGGCAACGTACCCCCAACTCAGTGATGAACCGGCATTGTTCAGTCAGGATGATCGCCTTCCAAAGCAGTTGGCGGGAATCTACGAGGCAGGGGCCGGAAAGCGTCGCCGACTCTGTCCCACACTCAACTAGCAGCTCTTGCTTCACGAGGCCCCGGTTGTGAAGACTTTGACTGACAGTGCACGCAAAGCCCGCGTGGCGGAGCACTTACAGGACCTCATGTCGCTTGCGGACCTTCTCTCTCCTGCTTCCTCTCTACTGCAGGAGCTCGCCGAAGCATCATCGCAGCTCTGCCTGTGGTTGGACTGTTCTTTTAGCTGCACCAAGCCAACACTTGTATGAACCTGCAGCTGAATCGCAGAGTCCCCTGCAGTCTTCACCTAGATGCTTAACGATCCTGGTGCAGGATGCAGATCGCGAGGGAGAAAACATCGGCTTTGAGGCATCATTCGCAGAGCGCAGACCGAACTACCCGTGCATACATCATACGAACATCCGTAGAAATCTTCCGTAATGGCCTGCTTGGTGGATCTTTGGGGGCTGCTGGCAGGTCATTGCCGTCTGCAGAGACAGGTTTCCGGACAACTCGTGGGCCTGGCTGTGTCGTTGTAAGTTGATCGATGCTGTGGTCGCCATCATGACTGTCCTGACATGGTCCCGGGCCGCCAGGAATGTCCATCGGGCCATCTTCTCTGCTCTTACGCGAGAAGAGGCCAGAACTGCAGCAAGCAAGGCTTCCATTTCTAGCAAGACATGCACAGGCTCCGCCTCTGAACTCGGATCAAGCCATGGCCATAGAGAGGGCGAAGTAGACCTGGCTGTACCAAGCAGCTCGATGGCCCTAGCGCCAGCCTGGAAAAAACCGCGGGCAGCGGGCCCGGTGGTATGGTGGCTGCGGAATGACTTGCGCTTGGAGGAGACCCCAAACATCATGCATGTGGTCGACGTTGCATGCAGCAGACGTGATGTACCAGCTGCTGCACGGGATGTGAGCGAAGCTTGATGAGGACAATCCAGTTGCCCGAGCAGCGGTAGCGGAAGCGCTCGTTGACCAGCGCTCGCTGTTGTCAGTCTTCGTGTTCGATCCCCGATTCCTGGATCGTCCGTGCCCAAGACTTGAGCAGCTCTGCACGGCTTTCGCCGTCCGACGAGCCTGTGGATCAAGGCTCTAACTACGGCCGTGTTACCGATCCTGAGTTCAAGAAGTCCATCAGTACTCGAAAGCCAGCAGCTTGACAGGAACTCGAACATAAGGCATCTGCAATCTACGAGCTCAATGTGCACACTGAGCAACTGCTGTTGGTCTGCTTGTCAGCTTGGCGAAATAACATCCCTGGCCAAAGTGGCGTCTCTGCCCCCGGTGCGTTCCAGGTTGATTTCGGCAACCGCAAGACGTCCGCTCTTCGAGCTCGCTTTTGGCTGCAGTGTGTCCGAGCAGTAGGCCAAGACATAGTGAAGCGTGGTGGAAACTTTGTGGCCACTGGGCCGCCATCAAGCCTCGTCGTCTAGCTCGGGGCTTGTCACCCCATGTGAGAGTCTGTGGCCAAGGTTTGTCACGGCCGACCAGAAGACGTCTTGGGGTCGCTGCCGCAAGGATCGCTGGTCGTCTGCCAGAGCGCCGCTCGGCTCAGGTCTTCTCGGCTTGAGCCCTAAACCCTAAACCCTAAAACCCAATTATTCTAAGTGTCCATGGGGGGCTTCCGTGCGTCCGAGAGCTCTGTCAGAGCTCAGGAACCCGTCTCCCCGGAGCAGACCGACGTGGAAGATGCGGTGGCTTTGAACCTCAAAAGCCGCGGCAGCGAGCTGCGGCGGGAGTGGGGCGCCATGAGCCTCTACCACTGCCAGGATTTACTTTAGCCAGCACTCCGAGAGTGAGAGGCTCTTAATGAAGGCGTGCAGAACCGGAGAAAATCGCAGGACTTGCCTTTTGGCCTCAATGCCTCGCCTGGCAACTACACTGAGCTCACACTTACACTGGGCTGGGAGGAGTGAGCTGCTAGACTCCTAGATTCATGACCACTGAGATGTGCTGCTGCTTTTCGGTCTGCTACAGAGTCCACGCTCTGCAGGACCTTTGGCGTTCACCTGCGCGATCCGCGACGGCCACACCCATCCGCTTTCCCGTAGCAGCGCCTCAGACCTTCCCCAAGGCTGCAGTGCCTTGACTGGTACTTATTGTCGGATGCAGCCTGGTCGACGAGCGTGCAGTACACCTGATGTCTCGCAGAGCTTCTGGCATGAGAAGGTATCAGTCGGTTACGGGCTGGGATCACATCGCAGGAGCTGTTTCGGATGGGTTTGGCAGTCTCGGGTCAGGCTTCTCCAGTCCCCGAGCTCAGGTCCTATCCGACGACTTGCCAGGAACCATAGGCCCTTCGGTCCTGGAGAATGAGCGAGAAGCTTGCCGCAAGACGAAAACGATGTTGCCGAATGCTCCCCCTCTACTTCCAAATTCGCCTCGCCGCAAGGAAGCGCTGAAGCTCCTGGGCTATGACGACCAAGAGATTGAAGAGGCCGCAACATCTTCTCTGCAGTCTTGTCGTCTCGTTGCTACAGCGCTGTGGCAGACAGGCTGAGTTCAAGTTGCCTAACTCATAATTCATAATGCATGGCTACATCTTCTGTCAGAGGACGTGCGGCATATGAAGATATCCAAAAGCTGCTATGCCTTTCATCTTGCTGACGTCGAAGCCTTTGTATCGCTAGCAGTCATGCCGAGTCTGTTTACTCTGCTTAATGCAGATGCGGTCTGCGAAGCAGGAGGCAAGCCAGCAGGCAGGCATAAGGATGAGATGACCGACGCGCCTGGACTCGCCCAGTAAAGTTACCCCGTAGAGATCCCTCTACCTGACTCTACCTCCACGTCGACTCCACGTGGTAACTACGTCGTACGGCTCGATTCCCCGAGGCCGTGGCGCAGCAGATGCCTCCTGGAGGCGAGACCTCCGCACGGGAGCTTCTCGAGCGCTGGCTCAGAGAGGACTTGGAAATTCCCAAGGCCGGGCCGCCGACCGCGGTGGCTTTGAGTGTTTTCTGCGAGAGATGGCTCGTGGCCTTTGATTTCGGGAATGGGATGCTGAACAGCACGCAGTTGTTCTTTAGCGCTGCAGCCACTTGTGCAACACGGCTTTCCCCTCGGTGGTGCTAATATTCGCTTTCCAAAAGCTTGTTCCGCAAGAAGGTGTCTAATTGGTGCTGCCAACCGGCTGTGGCCTTTTGATTTTGGGTTGGGGTTGTTCAGTGGTGGCCTTGCAATCAGTCTTTGAGCACTTGTACCACAAGTGTTTGTCCTGAATGATGCTTGCAGGAGTGCGAGGCATTCTGTTTTTGGGTTTTGGTCGCTTAGTGGTGGGCATTCCAAACAGTCTTGCAAACAGTTGTCCCAGTCCAGAATGGTCGAATGGTGATGGCAAGTGTGCGCGACATTTTGATATTGGGTTTGGGTTGATACTGGTGGGCCTGGCAAAGGCGCTTGCAAACACTTGTACCGCAAGACTGTCCTGGCATTTCGATTTTGGGTTGCTCTCTGGGGGCCCTGCGAAACGTCCTGCAAACGCTTGTAAGCGTGCGTGGCGCTTTGATTTTGGGTTTCTCACTGGCCCTTTGGTGGCGGCACCCAGTGCCCAAAACCAGTCGTGAAGGATGTCAGATTGCCTGGCGGCTGCCGCTTTGGTTCCCTGTCTGTCGTTTTAGCGCTGTGAGGTGCAGGAGGAGCTCCCTGTCTTCTGGGATCTGCCCACTGGCGGGCAGGACAAGGCCTCAGGAGGGAAAGATCCGTTGCAGTGGGCGAACCTCGCGCGCCCCGACGGCTGGCTGCGGGTAGCTTGCCGGATGATTGGAACACGGATGAGCATAGTGTCATCCCTGGATGATTGCAGTGATTTCTTGGGTCAGCCGCGGTCAGCCCAGGTCTCCCACTACATGGCGGTTGGCTGCATCTCAGCCCGAGATGCCTTGCTGCAATTATGCCGATCGAGCTTTGTGCCCGTGAACCAATGGGGCCCTTCACCTTCAGGAGATCTTGGCACGTGCCGACGACTCGCCGAACTTCAACGGTGTCGCACACCGGCTCTTGTGGCGTGAGCTCCACCGCCTCAATGCGATCAGGTGCGACGGGTCCGGAAAGAGGGCACGACAAGAGACTCATATCCGGATCCTTATTAATCCTCATGACAATGTCGTTCACCAAGGATCCCTAGTTCTCATGTAGGCCAGCAAGGCATTCAGAGTAATTCAGAGAGCTGCAGCCATGCAAGAGGTGGGGTCGCCGCCTCTTCTGGCTTCAAGGTCCAGGCCGTGTGGAACGTCCCTGGTCGTGGGACACTTCCCTCGTGGATGCTTGGAAGGTGGGGCCGAGCAAGTACAGGAGCTCAAAGGCGGTTGTAAGGAGCACCTCCTACAGACCCCGGAGAAAAATCCATTTACGCCCTTCTTCAAGCGTCTTGCCTAGGCTGGCCGAACAGGAGTTCCCTACATTGATGCTTGCATGCGTGAGCTGAAGCAGACTGGCTGGCTGGCTTACAAAGGTCCGGCAGGGCAGAGAGACATGGAAGAGCATAGACTGAATCAAGCCTTTGGAGTGCTTATTTCTCTGTCGCCGTACTTCTCTGCAGGGTGCATGCTGCTGGGTCAGGCCGCAAAACCGCCGGCTTCTATTTCGTCTTTATCCTCGGATTGGACTGGCGGTGGGGTGCGTTTCACTTCGAGGATGTGCTCCTGGACTATGATGTGGCCATGAATTATGGGAATTGGGTGGTTGTTGCAGAGGCAGGGCTCTTGATGGCTGGTGCTCATTTTCGTGCACCTAGCTTTGAAGCTCAAGACTTCTGAGAGTCTTTTTGACGAAGGTGGACAAGCAGAACCGTGGAGCGCATGGTTTCACTTCACTGGAAGACCTTGCTGCCTGGAAGCGCGATGAATTTGAGTGGAAGCTGACAGCGGAAAAGACGCTGCGGTCAGATATTTATGATTTGGATGTTTTGGTAGATGGTAGTAGTGTGGCTTGTTACATGGTGTAGTTGGGTCTTGTGGCTGCTGCCTTCCGGGGAAGGGCGAACGATGCCTCCGGATCCTACATCAAGCGCTGGCTACCGGAGCTGGCTAATGTGGATGCCTCTTTCGTCCATCATCCCTGGACAATGACACAGGAGCAGATGGCCAAATGTCGCCAGACTGAAACGTCGAGCCCAACGATCACTGAGACCTGCAGTGTGCCTTTGTGCCTGAGAAGTGAGAACCGTTTGAGGTGGCTGCGTGCTCGGCAAAGATTACCCCCAGCCCAGGGGTGGTCCCTTCCAGCTCAAGGACAAAATGGCCGACTTCTGTGCGTGATGAGCTAGTAGTATCTTGTCATTCTGCTTGTCCATTCTACGCCTCCTTTCGCCAGGAGCAGGAGGACATGAACGTCACGATCGACACTTCTGATGCATTGGAGCGGCGCTCGCATCCAAATGATCCTAACGGATATCCGTACACGTCCGAGAGCTCAGCTTTGCAATCGGTGTTATTTTCAGGGGAGTGAGTTGACGATGCGCCTGCAAGGTTCAAAGAGTTTATTGACTTCGCGCTTGCCCGTGGAAGCCCTGCCAGCTTCGGCAAGCAATGTTGGGAGCAATGCGTCCAAAATCCGTTGCCCCTCATGCACCTTACACCTTGCTTTGCGAATTCGTGTTGCGAAGGAGGAGTCGTTGCCGGTGAGCAAAGCACAGCCATCTCCCGAGATGGAGGCCCACAGGACTCTGCCAACTCCACGACCACGGCATGGCTCTGCTTTGCCAGGTGGCGGAGAAGCTCCGCACACTTCCCGGCGCTTGAGGCGTCCATGGCGAGCTGGGTGACAGAACGCGATCTCGCTTTGCGTAGCGTTTGTCATCGTACTCAGCATCAAGTTTGTCATTAGTACTTCACCTTTATGATCGAAGAGTGATCAGAGGCCATTTGGGTGAACAAACGACAAGCTTGCTGTTCTAAGACTTTCTGAATCGGCTGGCATTGGCAAACATGCCAGTGCATAAGCCTTTTATAGCAGGCCATGTTTGACGTGTGCCTGATTTGAATGTCCTGTGGTGGAAGCGGCATCGCAGCGCAGCCCAGTTTCCAAAACAAATTCATGCCGGGTGCGAATGGGAACTGCTAAGCTGGTCTTGGGTCTTATTGATGTTTTGATGGACTTCTCGTCCGTTACTAGCGGTTGGTCACTTCATTTCAATCGCTAGCTCGATTCTGGAGACTGAGCAGTGTCAGTGCTTGAAGTGTCCAGAACGCAACATTTTGTCGATAATATGGGTTTGTACTGTTTCGATTTAGCGTCCTCAGTGAACGAGAATGACTGCTCAGTTTCCTCCAAGAAAGCAACCCCGACACATCCAAGGTCGCAGCATCGTTCAATCAACTGGGCCGCCCTGATATGGCGGTGGCACAAGGTGTTGATACTCGGCAGGTGGATGCCTCAGCTGTTGTCCCAGTGAAGCTCAATATGCACGGGCGAAGAGTCGTGATCGGGAGTGACGTCTTCTTCAGGAATTGGACTTGCGCGTCGGCATCTCCTTCAGCAGGCTGCTGACTCGCTGCGGCCCCACAGGTGCACCTGAGAGTCGCATGCCAGATCAGCTTGAGTGGCAATACACATGCAGTCAACTAAAGCTCCCAGCAATAGACCTAACTTACAGCGAAATTGTCGTCACATTTTCACCCAGGCCGGTGTAGCAACAGTGGACGTCTGCCATGGCGCCCTACGCGATGGACAAAGCAAGTCAGGTTTCCTCGACACTACCCTTAATTTCCTCGACACTACCCTTAAGAACGAGTTGGACCAGGGACTCCGGGACATGCCGGGATGCAACGCATGCGCTGGAATTCACACATGGAACTCCCACATCCTCTTGTTCGAAAGGTTCCTCGCAACATCTACAGTTTGTCCTGCAGCACAAGCATTCTAAACGTCAGACCGGAACGGTCGTCGTCACGGTTCGAACGAGCGGCTAGTCACACTCATTGTGGTTCGTCTCCGTCTGCCTGTTTTGTGTGTCTGTCTCTTGTGTTTGTCTGTGACTGGGTGTTTGTGTTTGCGCGTCCGTCTGCTTGGGCCTGTTTTGCCCTGTGCGTCCGGGCGCTTCTTTTTCATGTTAGCATCGCATCGATGGCAGCATTCGCCACCTAGGTCAACTCACCAACACGCCTCTCGGCAATGTCAAAAGGGGCGCCGGGCTCTTAACGCCCATAGTGCCTTATGGTCCTGGGCAGCCAGTGTCACCACCAACGACATCAGTTGTATATCATCACTACTCAGGCCAGCAGATCAATAACTTATGGGCCTTGCCAGACGCCTGCGCTAGGCCCCGCCACGTTGCCATGATTCAAGCTCCTATGTGGATCAACTTTCTCGGCAAATGGGAGGTTTCTGTGCTCAACGGCAGCGGGAAATCGAGAGCTTCCAGCCGCAAAAGCGCTGGACCCCGGAGGCCGGCCGAAAGCGTCTCCCCTCCCACCCCTGCACCATCTTCGAAAGCCCGTCCCACATGCTGCCCTTTCGCTGAGGTGGAGCTACGGCATGCTGGAAGCTCCCTGACGTTCGTCACAGCCTCCGATACTGCAAGCATGTCGGATGTTAGGCTTTGCACCCCAGCATACGCGTGAGATCCTGGTCGAGCCGTAGCTGAAGGGATCGCCAGGAAGCATGCAAGCAAAGGTCGCTTTCTTAATGAGTGAAGAAACTATTGTACACATTCCCTGACAAACTGAGGTCTGGAAGCATGGCCAGCTGGATGATGAAAAGCAGGCCTGCCATTTTACTTCGGGATCCACGTGTCGGCATCTGCGCACAGGCCGTGGCCCTTGAACAGGCGCTTCTGTCCAGGCCAGCTCAGTGCTCAGATCGTCAGCCGAAGGGCAACACCGCAGAATGGCCAGTGTCATTGCCCTTTTAGCTTGCCCAGGTGGCGAAGCTGCGCTCCAGCTCCAGCACCCCCGAGGCTGCTCTCCTGTAAGCCCAGGCCAAGCGAGAGAGGAAGCCTCAGGTGCTCCACCGCCCAACGGGCTTGAACACTGTGCAGCTGCTTCGATCTGCGAGCAACGCGCCGGGTGTCCCAGAGAGGACTTTTTGCCTCCCAAGCCTGCTTGAATCCTTTCGCATTGAGGCTGGGCCTTGGCCCAAAGCAGGCCATGAAGGTCGCAGAGGAGTCGCGTGCAAATCGTTGCAAGGGCAGGCGATGGCAGGCGCCAATGAACGGGGCAGCTGCAGGGTGTTCGCATTGCTGCAGAGGACCTGTACTCCGCCGGCATCATCTCCTACCCTCGAACAGTTGCTCGGCCGGATCCCGATCCCCGATCCTGCCCTGTGTCCGAAGAATCCAGCCCCAAGTACCGCATCAAGGCTATCTAAAGAAGGAGCCCATCTCAGGGAGTGCCCTTTTGGTCTTGGCAAACTTCCAAGGAGACCACGCGCTACCACGAGACGTTTGATGCAGAGGTGCGACATGCAGCTCTGCACACCGCGCCCTCGAAGAGAGCTTGCTAGCAACACGTCGCGGAAGTCAATGCCTTCCATACTATATAGCTCTGTTGATTGTCAGGCATCGCTCCGCCCCTTGAGCCGCCACCCAACCTTCGGACGCGGCTCGCCTGCTAGAGACTCGTGCTTCGTCAGGGCTCGCAGGCTCGCGGTGCGCGCAGTGCCTCGTTGCCGAGGGGCAGCGAATCGCGCCCTGGGTGCCTGGCGGTCGCTGGCTGGCAAGGCTTCGCCGTGAAAGCCGCAGCAGGCCATATCAGCGGGCAGATCCTGCCAGGCACAGAGCTACCGGGCGCGGGATGTCGGGGACCATCCTCCAATTGTGCCGCTGAGAGTGGCAGTGCCAGGCTCAGGTCCTGTTCGGAAACGCTTGGCCCGGCATCAGCTTGTCACGCCTCTAAGGGTCCGGACGAGCTCAGATCCGCTGCGAGGCGCCTTTACGACTTTGTTTGCCAGAGGCCCAGAGCGGTTGCTCCATGCAGGACTGAAGTGTTTGAAGACGAAGATGAATGCGAATCTTTTGAAGTTTGAAGCTGTTAAGCTGCAGCTTTGTGGAAAGGTCGACATTTCTTGGCCTCGTGGCTCGGTGACGTGAAACTGGAGAGGAGAGAGGTGCCGGGGGTTTCGGGGCCAGGGGGTGGCGCAGCTCCTATTGCTCGATGTCCTCTCTCTGTTGAACCGCGAACGAACATGGGAAGTTGTACGTAAAGCACCTGAAACTTGCAAGTCTGAGAGAACCTTAGCTGCCTTTCATCATGCCTACAAGTGCTGCATCTCCAGAAGGTTGTGTTTTCTGCATGCCGCTCTGTGCACGGATATCAGCTACTATGCAGCATATGTAGCATGTGATGCATTTACTGCATCACTCCGGATTGTGCATGCTCGCCTGACTGGCTCAAGTCAGGGCCGCAACAAATAGTAGAGTGCGCGTGCACAGTTTTGGACGAGGACGTTTGATTTCCATGACCTCCAGAAGTTCACCCAGGAGGCTGGGGCATCCGGCGGGAAATTGCGAAGGGGTAGATCGTTCTCTGCTCTGCTCTCTTTGAAGGCGGCTTGGCCGCTGCACGCTTCTGGCCTTGGCCCTCTGCCTGGGCGCACACGTGGGCGCTGTGAACTTCGCAGCACCGGACGGCCGACATGCCCAGACCCCAAGAGCAAGGGCCGAGGCAGAGGGGATGCGCTGTAAGAGATCTGGCTGCAACCTTTTTAAGTGCGCCGCCAGGTCAGCCACGGCCTGTCAGCTAGGCCGCGGAGTTTGGCAATGAAGGCATCGAAGCTCGATGCCCTTGGCTTCAAGAAACAGCTGGGAGCTTAGCCTGCGGGGGCAGGCGCAAACTGGCCTTGGTTGCGATGGCCCTGAATCTTCCCAAGGCAGATAAATGATGCTGCCCGGAACGTGGCATTCATCGCCGTTATCGCGGGCACCATTGCATCTAGCTGGATTTTCACTGGCAAGTGGTGGAAGGCCCCGAGGTCTTTCTTGATGTTTTGGCCATGGCCCATGACAACCCACCGCAGGTGCCACTGGGGCTGGCGCTGCCTTCCATGCTTTATCGCCTGTGGACCACTAGAGGGAACACGGAAAAGCTTGCGCAGGCGGCTTTCTCGACGGGCTTCGCGAGGCATGAGCATGCCTCTCATCTTGTGCGCAGGTCAGCGCTTCAGTTGACTCGAAGTACATTGCCAGCACAGAGGAGGCATTCACACCCGGCATGAGCTGAGCGCGATTTCATCACATGAGCCTGAGTTTTCGACAGGCACAGCAGGAGCTGCACATGTTCATGTGCAGTAGCTGTGGCTACACGCTGTTCCCGGCTAGGCAGCGTCTGCACAGAGACTGGAAGATCTCAGGGTCGCTGTCGCTGTATGCAGGGGCCGAGAAGGCGCCTTCTTCAATGACAAGTTCAAATGCCCGATGTGCGGGGCGTCAAAGGCGGGTGCGAAAGCTTTTGGGCAGAGTCATTGGAAGATGTCTGGGGCCAGGAAGAGTTCGTTGACATGAACGACGACGACGATGATGGCAGCGCTGCTCTTGCGGCAGCCGCAGCCAGGGCGGAGAAGGTGCTGCCAGTCCTATAGTTATGCCATCTTTAGAACACTTTTTCTTCTTGGCTGCTCTCATTGGCAAGCAGTCTGCCATGCAGGGGGAGGCCCCTGCTGCCTGAGGGCCCGATGGCCTAGCTGAGGCCCTGTCTTATCTCAGGGGGTCGCGTGCCTTTCTCGTTTCGCAATTTTCACATTGCAGGGGTTAGATCGGTGGTTTGCGGGCAAATGGCCTAGCAGGGGCCTAGCAATGGAGGAGAGTCAGGAGCATAAGCAAGACTAGCTGCAGTAGTGCCTGAAGCCGGTGACGAAATTGGCCGCGTCTCTCGCTCTGGGTCTCTGTGCGCGGAGCACCTCTCATGACAAGAGCATTGCTTGAGATACTGACACTAATTGTGGTTTGGCGGGTGGGTTAGACGGTTTGACGTTCTGACACAGCTATGCCAAACATTATTCGGCGGGCAGTGGGTGCTCCGGGCCAGTGTTTGAGTTCTGCTCGACACCCTGCTGCATCATGATTTTCCTGCTTTGTCAGGGGTAATATTCCATCTGCGATGAGAACATCCGATGGAACTCGAAGCCTTCTCGTCACCGTGTAAATAGCAGAATCAGAACCGCATCTCGCGACACAGCTGTTGTCTGATGTGCTCTTTCCGGCTCAATCGGCCCCAACATACACACGCTTGCAACGACTTGAATGATCCCTGAGCCTCGGAAGCTTGTGGCGGTTCTGCTATGGGCAGGGAAACCAAGCCCGCCATTTGTCTCGCTCGAAGCAGAGCTGGAAGCCCCCGCTTGTCCTGGTCTTCCAGCTTTAAAACGCTTCTGCGCGCGCATCAAACCTGGGAGAGCCCGGCGTAGAAAGCGTTCTGCAGAACCGGTGAGTTTCTAGCCGAAGACCGTCGGGGCCCCATGCCAAGTGATCCTCTTGGTGCCCTTCTCCACACTTGACTTTTATGCACACGCCGCATTTCCACCACGAGTTTTACGTGGCAATTCGGTTCAGTGATGCCCGACACTTTCCAGGCATCTTTCGGCATTGGCGACTTTGACTTCGAAGCCGTGCTGAGAAGGTGCATTGTGAAGATCTGCCAATGGTGCAAAAAAAGAATTGTGGGGAGCCATGCTGGCGAAGCTGATCGAACCCCACCATGAAACCAAAGGCTGCCCAGAGAGCGTGGCTGGCTTCAAGTCCTGGCCTTAGCTTGGGTGAAGCCTACACAGGCAACAGGCCAGAATGTCTTGGAGTCGGAGTCTTTTTCAAGATATTTCTTGAACGGTCTGGCTGCTTTCTAGGTGATGCCATGGCGCATCGACGAACTTCGTCTGGAGGAAACCCATCTCTAGTGCAGTTGGACTATGAGAGGGTGTGGAGGGCGACCATCCTCACAGGGCCACTGGCCCATTCCCCCACCGGGGGTGCCAGGACAGCACAACGCGACTGGACTGCCTCGACCAGCTCGTCGCCGAGGCCGCTCTTTTGGAGCATTGCTGAAGCTAGCACAGAGGTGCAGCAATGTCGAACATATGCAGCCATACAAGCGGCTCCTTCCAAGATAATCTCAGATGCATGAGACGGAGAGTCCACGAGAGTTTTCTGCGCGTCGTTTTGCGGCTACAACGTATTTCTGCAGGGTACGGCAACGATCAGCAACTGGACGTTGGGACAGTCCTGGACGGGTGCAGTCTGCAGCGCGCAGAGAGAGTCGAGTCCGTGCGTTGTCACGCCTGTGGGATCCGCGAACTGCCAGGACAGAAGCCCCATTACCGCACGAAGCTCGGACTCAGTTGTCGCGAGGGTAGCAGTTTCCATAAGTCGCTCTTCTTCGACGTGACGTGCTGTGGCAAACGAGCCACATTGGTTTTGTCAGGTTAACGGAAGCGGAGCTGGTGGACCTGATGGACAGGACCCGCCCTGTTGGCTGTTAGCACCCGCCATGCCAGGCTGTCTTGCTTGCAGGAATGGGATTGGCACAGATGCATCGATTCCACAGCACATCCAGACAATCCAGGCATCGAGAGCTGGGCATCTTGCTAGAATCCTTCTTATTCTCCTTGAAGCTTTTTGCAGGATCGCGGCTACGTGCAACTCTGTGACGGCAGTGGCGCACCCATTGAGACAGCGAAGGCCTGCGTTTCTGGACTGATCTTTTCCGTTGATTGATGCATGGGCATGGAGAGCTGGAGACGCAGAGGCTGGGGCCTTCGGACGGAAGCGAGGCATGCAAACGCCAAAGCTGCAAAGAGCCCGGAGAAGCGGAGAAAATAACTGGCCAGGACGGCCGAGCCCAAGACCAAAAGCACCGGGGAGGTACCTTGTCCCCACGCCGGGGCGCCAGCGAGCACAGAGCTCTTGCAGAACCAGGGCCGAAGAGAATCTCTAGCCGCCTCTAGCCTCTCCGAAGCAATGCTTGAGTGCTCAGCAAATTGAGAAACCTTGGTCTGAGGGAGCGAGGAATGGCACTTGTCCGTGGCCTCAGCCACCTTGATGCTTCGCTGTGCGAGCCCGAGGCAGGGCAAATTCAGGTCTCCAAAACGTCCCGAAAGTTTTGACTTACCCCGAGCAGGTTCGTGCGCTGATCGAGCGTGAGTGCGCCATGGTGGCCAGCGCGGAGCTGCAGCAGGACGAGGAAGGGACGGCACAGAGAATACTCAGGTTTTCTGCATGAATTTGGGCAAGGTGGTAGAAGCCACTCCTTAGTCTGGTGCAGTTGTGGGATGCTGCGGAGGACGAACACAAGAACGTAGAAGCCTGTATTATGGTCAGTTTAAACCGCACAGGTCTTTCCTGGCACAGGGAACTGTCAGGAGAAGGAGCAAACAACTCTTTGCCACGCCACAAGATTGTTTCCGAGATATTTGCGGACTGTGTACTGTACATTAGGTCAATGTGTGTGGCCAAGTGGGCCTTGTCGGCCACAAGTGCCAGTCCACGTGCTCAGCAGGTGCTAAAGCGCAACATCGAGCTGTTCCAGGGCAAGTTCAAGCACGTGGAGCGGAGCGTAGACGAGTCGGGGTCCAATTTGGTTTGCTCCATCATGTCTTGTCTTGGCCCAACATCTCGGAAGCCTCACCTCTGCACCATTGCCCCTGAAGCATCCTGCAAGGCTTCGGACTTTCTTCCAGAAAGCACCTGGAGGCCACCAGCTTTCGCTCAGGAATCTCTCTCTCTCTCTCTCTCTCTCTCTCTCTCTCCCTAGGTAGTGAGATCCTCGAGCAAGCTCCCGCACTCGCATGTCATGCGAAGGTGCGCGCAAAGGTGATGCTCGCCCTGTGACTGGCAAAGCCAGTCGGAAGAATCGTGCCCGCAGACAAAATGCAGCGGAAGTGAATTTGAGGGCTTTGGCAAGTGGACGTGTGCTGTCCAAATGCCCTGCGTCCCGGCGGAACACCGGCACACCATGCTCTGGTCTCTGCTGTCGGGCTCCGGCAACATGGCGCTTTCATGAGGGCACAGGCGCGACATCATGAGCTCATGGAAAGATCCGGATGCAGGTAAGCGAAAGTGGCAGCACCTGGGCTTGTTTCGGGTTGGGGGATTACATCAGGCCTTGATATCCAGCCATGGCGGATGATCTCGATTTTGATGCCGTCGAGCAGCTGTTGGACAATGCTGAGACTTGGCTCTTCATAGCATTGGACACAGGCTGAGAGAGCATGCTTCGGATGCTCAAACTGTGCATGGGTCTGCAGTATCATCATCTCAGCAGATATCGAAGCTGTTTTCATGAAAGGAGCGGGCCGCCAATGCTGACTATGATGACGACCGAAGAAAAGACAAGAAGCGGCGTTCCAGGAGCTCGAATTGTTGTCTTGTTCTGTACTCGTAAGGACAAGTCTGTCCAGTACCATTCAACACACATGACATAAAAGGCATGGTGCAGTTTAGATTGTGGACATGATGTCCAAACCACGTGGAATAGTTCATGTTCTTCGCTTCGGTTGGAAGGACGCGATCACGCTCCGCACGCCGCGGCCGCTCACGGAGCCGCAGCCGCGAGGCGCGGCGCCTGGAGAAGGAGCGTGAGATGGAGGACCGGGCAAAAGATGCAGCGCAGGGGTCGAGAAACTGCTGGAGGCAGGCATGCCTTTTGTTTGGTGCCTGCAGGAAAAGCGTCGGCAGGAGGAAGAGGAGGCAGTCGAGAACTGCCGTGCAGGTGAGCGTCCTGCGTAGCATCGCTGCGATGTTTGGCAGGAGCGAAGACGCCAGATCGAGGATGCGACGCGGGGTGATCGCACCGCATCCCAACTGCAAGACGTCAGGATCCACCGAAGAGTGGTTGCCCGTCTTCATTTCATAGCAGTGCAGCCATGCTTCCCGGTGTGGCTGAGGTCATGATTGTATGCTTACATCACAAGGCCATGCCTGCCTCAATCTGGGTGCTTTGCATGCACAGCTAGCAAGTCGTGAACACTTGAGGCTGACGAGCGTGATGTCTATGAGTTCTTCTCGAAGAATGCTGGCAAGGTGGAATCAGACGACGACTGCAGAGCGACCATCCGATGTATCGCTTTACTCGGCATGTCTGCTTGATTTGTTGCCGAAAGGTGCGAGATGTGCAGATTATCCGTGATGCACGTACAGGCAGGGAAGTGGTCTTCGATGTGTTCCGATTCTGGTGCCAGCGCTTGAGTTTTCATCACGACCGGTAGGCCTCGGCCCTTTAATCGCTCCAGTCTGCTCGTTGCATTTCTGAGTCTCGAGTCTTGCCTCGGGGGGCCAGTCCTGTTGCGCACTGAACAGAACAGACTCAAAGCCTTTGCAAGATGTTGGAGTCGGGGAAGGGGGGTGCAAGGGAATCTGCACCATTCCCTCCACAGGCAGTCCCCAGCTGCACGATTTCTCGCGAGTTGGCGAAGCGAAAGAACAACACTGCTTTGGTCCCAAACCGGCGCGTGCGGAAGGACATGGAATCCGAGTGCGGAAGGATTGGTGGAAGGGCCGCAAGTTGATGTTGCGCCCCCTGCGCACGAAGAGCTAGCGAAGACAAACAAATGATGAAACAACGAGACAGCTTCGTTGCGGTCAGTACAGATATGTTGACGATACATCCTGAACCTACACGCGACACTAGATTCACTAGATCCTCTATCTATCAGCAAGCACTACCCACTGATGCAACAGGCAGCAGAATTAAACATAATCCGAAAATGATAATACATGACATCATGTCAACGATCCCTGTCCCACTAGACACTACCCACTACAAGCAATAGTGCGATTACAACAGAAGCAGCGTCAATCTTAGTCGTGTCGATACAACAGATAGGAAGGGAAGACCATCAGTAGCAGTAATCAGCATTGACATGCATTGACCGTAGCAGTAACGGTAGCAGCATTAGCAGCAATGACGCCAGACCAACAACAGCAAAGCGGTTAAAACCACTGGCGAAAGTCACAGGCCGATCCAAGGGCCTCGCTTACGTGGAGTTCTACCTGCAGGCAACCCCTGTCGGGCTCTTTGAGGTTCAGGTGAGGTCAGGGTCTTGCTGAGGCGGTTCTCAGGATTCAATGGGCCATCGGAGTCAAGCCTTGATAATCTTGATAGACTCGAGTGAGTCACGTCAGGTCCCGACCTTGAAGCTGGATGCAGAGTCTAACATGTGATGGCCAGGAAGCCACGCTGAAAGCCTTGGCGCTCAGCGGACAGCCCATCAAGGGTCAGGCGCTCCCTCGTGTGTGGCAACATGTCGTCTTGTGCTGGAAGACCGACCTGTCACGCCAGGCAGTTCGTGTGCAGCCATCCCAGGCAGGCTTCTCGCGGTGTGATGTGCACCTCGTCGAGGGGTCTTGTGGGCGAAGGGACTCGTTCTGAGAGGATTACCAGGCCAACCATTGTGACATAGCAAAACCACGAGCCTCGTTTTCATCTTCTGCGCTTCTTTAGGTTTGCCATGGGTTGCCTGTTTGTCACTCCTTTCGACAGCTCCTGAACCCAATGGGGCAGGCTACATTGGCCCTTTTGTTGGCCAACGTTCTTAGTTGCCACGCAGCCCTCATTCCTCCTCTGCATCCGTGCTCAGGGCTTTCAAACCCCTGAACCCCGAGAGGCCCTCCACTACAGACTGTTCCCCTGCGTGTGAGCTTTCGATTTGCTGTGTGCAGGCGGAGAAGAACCGAGCGGCCCAGGCTGCCAAGGCCTCGATTCACTACACGGCGCCGCGCGAGACCCCGCTCCGCTGCTCGGCGCAGAGCCATGGGGTCCCACGAGTGTGCGATCAATACCTGTGATATGCCGTACATGCATAATATATATATATATGTA